ATTGCATATCCGATCAGCTTATACAATTGAACTGATGAAACTGACGTGTAAAGTTGAGTCGAATAATAATTAGATGAATAATAATTATTTAGAGGTTTAATTTCATGTTTAATTTCATCCAATCGCATTGAATCGTTTGTTTCAACTTGAACCTTTTATGTAACATGAGATTGTCTATCGGTTCTTTTGTCTAACTGCCTGCTTTAATGTTTGTGTTACTATTGATTAAGAACTTATTGTTTGTGCGTGTGGATGTGCCTGTGTTTGTGTGAATGCAAGGCATAAATGTATAAACATAAGCTATTTATAAAACACGTGAGACTTGAGGCAACACACACACACACACACACACACACACACAATCATCTACCATTACACGCACAACCATCTACAGACACACACACACACACAAAAAAACGAGATTGGAAACAAACTTCCTAGTTCGCCGGAAGTGATGTTATGCTGCTGCACATGGTTGAGTTGCTGTTCGTTTTTTGATGTTTTGTTGGGTTGTGAGAGTTGTGTGGATGAGTTGAATAATTCTTCAGTGGAGCCACTCATGAGGTCTGTGTATGTCCGCTGAAAGTAATTATACCACATGTGAAATTTCTGTCAGTTGTGCATTGTTTCTTCACGTATTTTTTCTTATTCTTATTTTCTTAATTATTTGAAATGCAAAATAAATTTTTTTCATTTGGAAACATGGAAAAAAAAATATCAACTGTTTTTGTCTTTCAAAACGCAAATATTACAAAAATCACCGTAATCTTTTTTATGAATGCATTATATTCATTGGAAAGAATGCTAAAAATAATTTCATTCAATAATTTGAATTCATTTCACTGAATTAAATTAGGAGCGCTTAAAAATGAAAACATTTTTCCAGCTTATCCCAAGTGCGAACTGTCCCTGAACGACACCACAACTTACGACCCGTCAAACCCGGTTGCACTTTCAAAACCTACAAGACAAGAGAACGGTGACGTCATGATGGAGGTGACGGAAAACCAATGGACGCAGGTGAGATGTTCGTGTGATGGAGAGGCGGCAGGAAGTTCCTCGCTGAGGTGGACCAAGGATGGAGTTGTGGCTGCTGATGGGAATGAGTTGAACCTGAAGAACGTGCAGCGATCGTCAGCTGGGACGTACAAATGCACGTGCAATCGGATACTGTCTCCTACCTATGCAGCTTCATTCCAGGCTTCTGATACGAAAAAACTTGTCCTCTCCGTTTTATGTCAGTATGATTTGTGTCATTAAACAAAGAACTTCATGCAGTACAAAATTTCGCTTCAATTTTAAATATTAATTATGTGTGATTTTCTTTTTTATATTTTGTTGTTTAGTAGAAAAAATTGAAATATATGAGTATAAAGTAGCACGATGAACTGAACACAACGTAGATAAGCCGGGTCAGGGTCGCATCGATATTCCTAAGTACATCATCAGCGAGGAGAGGACCACATTCTCCTGCTTCACCGAACAGCCTGGTTGCCAGTCTTTCAATTATTCTCTCAATTGCAACTGTTACAACATTTAAAAAAATTTTTATCAATGTTTCAACCATTACTTAAGCAAAAACTCAACCTTTTTGATTTGTTGAGTTGTCGACTTATATTAGGCAAGTCAAAATTATTAAAAAAAGAATGCACTGTAAAGTTGAAATAACAAAAACATGAAACAAACAAAAAATTTGTGTTGAATTTAAAAAATCTTTGGTGTATAGATTATTACATAAAATCATCTAATTTACAAGCGACAACCACCACCAACAACAGCAACAACAACAAACAAACAAGAGACATGACAAATGTTTGCTTTGCGACCAGGTAACCCTCCATGCGACTACATCTGGTACAAGGAGGAGCAAGAAATTTTCAGAGGTAAAGATTACGAATTGAATCCAGTGATGCTTTCGCATGCCGGCAGTTACTCGTGTTTGCCGATCAACAAGGTGGGGCTGGGGAGCAGGGACTCCAAGCAGGTCGTCGTCATCGGTTGGTTCCTCCCACTTCCATTATCTTCTTATTTCACTTCTTCATCAGCTTCTAACACTTTCCTTTGTTAATTATATAGACTGAGAAGATTACTTATTTATCAATCACGATTATTTAATTAAAAAAACACTCGCTTAAAATGACAAAATTAACAAAGGGATTAGATGGAGGAGACATTTTGATAACATTATTCTGTTCGTTATCATAAATGATTTAGAATTTATCAAAAAGTTTAATCACAAATTTTTATTATTTTATTCAAGTATTCAATACTATTTGTTGAATTTTTTTTCAATAGAATGGTTTGCATATAATATCTTTCCGTAGTTATAATTATGGTCTATAATAAATTTTTGTAATTATTGAACAATATAGAATCTGACATTGACCTTTTTGAGTTATAGCTTAATATATATTATTCTAATAAATGCTTTAAATAATTGCTGTATAATTCAAGATAAAAGTCATTAATGTAAACTTTAGGCATTGGTTAATACAGATTTTCAAACAAAGTACATTTCAAAATGAGTTTCTGTGTTTGATTTCTAGAGTACCCCAAACCGTTAATGGGTTCTGACGATCAGGACCTGGTCGAAAGTTCTCTAATGCCAGCATCAGCCGTCCAGTTGAAGTGTCAGTTTACTGGGTCACCTCCGCCAACAATCACGTGGTACAAAGATGGAATCCCAATTTCAAGTTTGGCGGATAACGACAAGCGGTTTGAAGTATCGCAGAAGAACGAGGTTCAATCAGAAAGCCATCGGTACATCGCTACTTCCCTACTCAAGTTTTATGGTTTGTGTTGTTGTGCAGTGCTTGTTTGTATTTGTTGGATTACCGAATGATGTAGATTCTTCAACAACTTCTTTATTTAGTTTGTTCATGCAATTGATGATAAACTTTGTATGACACACTTTTTGTGTGAGTGTTTCTGCATCACACGAGTCATAAATAGAAGCTTTAAATTCAATATTTTCATAACACCAGGCCCAAAGAGAACATCTCTGAAAGCTCTGGAAAGGGAAGAATCTGGTAGTTACTCGTGTGTGGCCTCTTTCGATTTCGTCAAATATGAAGTTCAGTCACACGTTTCGCTTTTCATCAAGTGTTAGATTGCTTACATCGCTTATGTTTCAATCCTGATCGTTATTAGAATAATCATTTGTGAGTGCACACCATTATTTGACAATGCTACAAAAGTTTAATTGTATGTTGATTATGATTTATGTAATCGCATTTGAGTAGTCCCTCGGATAAATTATAATTGTGAGAAAATATTAAATTTCATTTTTTTCAGTTCCTCCAGAAATAACAAACGATAAGAAGCAGTCAGTGGAAATGCACAAAACTGGACGCATCTACTTCAAAATAAAAAGTTACCCCAAGCCTTTTGCGATCAAGTGGTTCAATTCCTCGAAAGAAATGATACAAAATTCATTTGCAAATAATGGTGGAAACCACCAGCAAATTGATGAAAAATGGAAAATTACGACGACTGATTTTCTCGGCGAGAAAGATGCTTACCTAACTGTCCTGGAGATAAAAACTGTGGACGAGTTCGACCTGACAGAGTACAGTGTGCAAGTCGACAACACTGTTAGCATCGGCACTTCCTCCGTTCAAGTCATTGCTGCAAGTTTGTGTGTTGTTTTAGTTTTGAACGAATTTTAAGTTTCAAAATTGATTTGGGTAAATGTTAAAAACCTTTTGAAATCAATCGCGGTTTGCGCAATAAAGTAAAAGATTTTCTTGATGATGTATTTCCACCCAATGTGACGTTACTTGTTTTGATTGCAGCGAAACCCAACGCACCAAGTCAATTAAGAAATGTGTCCCTTGACTGGAAGTCAGTTGGGCTGGAGTGGCTTGGAGGTAACGACGGAGGCATCAACCAGCAGTTCGTCATCGAGGCACGCTCCCCCAAGGACAACTCTGTGAAGGCTAAGAAGAGTGTAGCCAACACAACCAGCATCGTTTTTGATGGTATCGTGAAATGTTTTCTACTTTTTGTATTTTATTACAATCTCACTTAATTTTTTTTCTAAATTTTTTAAAAATTTTTATCGTGTTGGATATTTAAAATGCGAAATCACTTTTTACAAAATGTTACATTTTCAAACTTTATGGCGACACTGTAAATCCCAACAAACATTCGCAAACATGCAAAACTAGCACGTACACACACACACACAGACACACACATACACACACACACAGACACACACATACACACACAAACGTCCTTAAGGTCTACTGCCTAACGTCACCTACAAATTCATCATGTACGCCGAGAACAGGATTGGAAGAAGCGAATACTCCAACGAAATATTCGTCACACTGCCTGGTTTGTTACAGTCTTGTTGAATTTTTATTTTCATTACTTCAATGAATTATTTTTGTTTTCTAATATAACTGTTATTTCGTTAATTTTTATTTATTTTTTGTTAGTTATTTGTTTATAAATTTTGTTTTGATCTTGTTAGAAGATTTTTTTATATAAACAAGTCCTTTCTCGCCGCATTTGTTCCCAGATATTTTTTGATTGACACAAAACAAAACTTAACACACAATATATCTAATAAATAATATAGTCTTGTAGAATAATTAAATGATAATCTAATAAGAAAAAAATATTTTTTTATAATTGATTGAAAAGAGCAAAATAGTAATAATTTTTTGCAGCGATAAAAGTGTACTCTCCGAGCCGTGTGGACTTCTCCGCAGACGACCGGTGCATCACCATCATCCTTCCATCCTTTCTCTACAGCACCACCGTCAGCCCAACAACTTCATCCCCCGGCCCCGACGACAACATCTCCAATGTTTGGGGGAACTTCTGTGCTAGTGTGGACGTCTTCGATGGTACGTCCTGGATCACCGAGTACCCGTGCATCAAGGAGAGGAAGATCGACCTGAGTGGCAGCAAAATAAAGAAAATCACGCAGGTCCGAGTGTCCATATGTTCGGACGAGAGGCATGATATTTGCAGCGAACAGAAATACAACAGCGACAATGGTCGGCATTCTCTTAATTTCATTCACTAGCGTCAATTTTTATTTATCCTACCATTATCACGTTATTCATTAAAGACAAAATGATCTGCTAGCTTTCAAAGTTTTAAAGTTATTTGAATGAAAAACTATTGGACACCATAGCAGCAGGCATTCCGAACAATTTGACCATCATCGTGGGGTGCGTGTGTGGGTGTGTCGTCGTTGTCCTTCTAGCCATCCTTCTCATACTCTACGTGCGATCCAGGAAAAAAAATGGTAGTTACCTTTTTTGGCATCATTTTTATTTGCTATTTTTGAAATAAATTATTACGTGTGTGTGCGTGCGTGCGTGTGTGTGTGTGTGTATGCGTGGTGTATGTGTGTACATTACATACTGTCGGAGATTTTTAAAATAATAAATAATAAATTAATGAGGAGGAGGATTTTTAAAAGGGTGACAAGGCCCCACGTTGGGCGCCAATTGTCGGAAATTTTAAATAATAATAAATTAAAATGATAAGAGGAAGCAATCTCCTCCTCTATCTTTCTCAGGGAATTTTTGTATGGTCCGACAATAATTTTTGTGTATATTTTTATCGTGAGTTCGACCAGTCCTGTGTGGCACTGGGCTTTTTCGAATTATATGATTTTACTGAGTAACACACGAACGCGTAAAGAAAAATATTCGATAACAATTTTATTAATCGACGGAAGTAAATAAAAGGAATTGAACTAATGAACTCTATAAGAATGTAAATGTCAATGAACAAACTGGAATACAGGAATTAGAACTCTTCTTGTTGGGTCTTCAACTTGGAATATGTTTCTTGGCGTTTTAATCGTACAACTTCGACGTGTGTAACCGATGGTGATGTCGATACAACTCCAATAAATAAAAAAAAATGAATCACAAAAATCGGAGCCTATGGAAATTGCAAGCTGCGTGTGAAACTATACCAATGAGTATAGAATCCAGCAAAGAACCCTAGGTCCACAAATAGCACAAGAAACAAAACAACGAGGCGGATTCGTTTTCACAGAACCCAAGGCCTGTTTTCACTGGGCCTGTCAGTCAGTCGGTCGGCTTTCGCACAACCCCGGCCTGTTTTCACTGGGCCGTCGAGTCTGATCGGCTTTCGCACGACCAACACAAGACAACAAGAGTCAGAACAACACTGGTAACAAATTGTGTGTCTTCAGTACGCGTGCGAAACTATGCCAATGAGCATAGAGTCTCGTACTGAATCCACTTTTGAGAACTTAAGGCGTTTCTGAAACTATGCCAATGAGCATAGAATCACGCGTTAAGTCTCTTAGGGACCAGAAGAGGCACTGATTATTCGAAGCTGCCTCACTAGTCAACCCAGTTGCTCTCCAACTGGTGAACCCAGTTCCAACTGGTGAACCCAGTTGCTCTCAAGTCTTTTCACACCCTTCCTTATCAAAACAAAATTAGATTTTGTTTCGGGTGTTTTAAAACATAAAAATCTACAAGGCATGTCCAATTAATCAGAAAAAGTACTAATTAAATTTTTAAATAATTTATAATAATTTATGACGTCATCTAAATTGCAAAACAAAAAAAATACGTTGTCACCTATCGAGTAAATTAACTTGCACCATGCCCCCTATCGAGTGAATAAATTTCGCGTTGAAAATTTTGCAGTATTTTTAGTCAGCATTATTTCATAATTCTGACAATACAATACATTGAATTTTACATTGTTTTCAAGGTGTGAACGTCAAGGAATTGAAGACAATAACTCAGTAAGTTTTTTTATTTCATAGTTATTTCTTTTTTTGGCGTAAAATAAAATTATATATAACGTCGAAGACAAAAAATTTAGTCAAAAAACGTGAAAGTAAAGCGATTGCTGAGCTGACCACAATATTGCAATTGCAGAACCGTGCACTTGAACGAGAATGGAACGCTTCCTGGCAAGCCGTCCAATGGCTACATCAGCTACACGCTGTCCAGTAACAGAAACAACAGTTCGAAAAACATCTTCAAAGTTGACAACAAAAGTAAGTTATGTTTTGGTGTTTCAACTGCAAACTGAACACTAATTAATGGGGTGGACATTGAATACAGTTGGCATCTTATCGCTTACACAACACGGGTCTACCAGAACTCAAGAGATTTTATTTTAAAAGCATTTTATGAGTTGTAATTTTAAATATAAAAATATTTACAATAGTGAAATTTCAAGCTTTAAAATTTGAAAATCTTGAACAAGCACACGTTAAACTCTGCAAGACTTACGAGTGGAAGCTCCATGGTGAAGGTGAAGAGTTTCCATTATTATTTGCCTCCTGTGTTCACCTTGGTCGACGAAATGATTCAAGATGGTGAAAACTAAGATGAGCAAATAATTATATCTTTCATTCGTATCAACTGAACCAAATTACAAATCTTGCAGAGGATTGATAGTTTAGATTAAACGCAAACAGTTCCCGAGCTATCTACTCTACCATGTTGCATGATTGGTTGTCCAAATTATAAAGACATATTTGATTCACATATTTAATTGAACGTATTATTGAACTGAATTATTTAAAAACGTTGTAGATGACCAGCAACACGACTGGAATGGTTCGGTCTGCATGGCTTCAGTCCACAACTGCAACAACCACGACCACAACTGCAACAACCACGACCACAACTACAACAGCCACGACCACTATGGCAACAACAACAGCAACAACATCAACCTCGATAATTACAGCTTCGACAACGGTGATTTTCTTGTCGGTTCAACTTTTGTTGACACTTGCGAGGCATCGAGAGCGCCACCACCAACTTTCCAGAGCCCAAGCATCATTTGGCACCCCCAGCAGCAACATCCCCACAACCACCAGGCACTCCCATACAGCGCACAATCTCCTTACATTTCAGAGGACGAACACACATCCACCATGGAACTCATCCACAAACCATCCTTTCCAATCACCCACATGACAGGTTGTTCACTTTTTTTCTTCATTTAAATTATTCCACACCATCAAACAAATGTTTCTCAATTAAAACATTGAAATAAATTTTATTTACGCACGGAAGCAGATGGGAGCAGCAGCACGCAGGGAACGATAAAAAGTTTCAACTTGGTCAACCGGAGCAGCACGGATGTCAACAAGCAAGCAAAAATAATCCACGAAGTCATCGTATGATAGGACGAGTCTGACATCATCGCATCGCCACGTGTCATCTTTCTTTTTTCGTCGCTGCTCTCTTTTTGCATTTTATTCATTTTTTTCTGTTTATTTTTTTTGTTTCGTTTTCTTTTTACAAATTTTCATCCCGCCTTCCTTGAAAAATGTAATCTAATCATTCATACGTGAACGTACAAAAATACTATGTGCATATATAAACAAATAAATAAACATATATATATATATTGTCATAATATATATACATAATAAATATATATATGTGTGTGAGTGTGTGTGTGTGTGTTTATACGTGCGCGTGTCATGGTCTTCTTAATTGCTATCGAGACTTCCGAATTTCCACTAAAGATATTTTATGTGCCTTTTATATCAATCTGGTTAATTAAACAATTTAGATGTCATAAATTTGTACATATGATAAATAATTTACGAAGACCGCTAGACATTTTCATTATATAGATTTCACGTTTCATTTATAAATTGTGCCGTTGGTTACGATTGTATAAAAGCTCATCTGTAAATGCTTTCAATTTGTTTAGCATTGTATTGAAGACTTATGAGCGTTTCACAAGTGATCTTCAGAAACGCTGTCTATGCTAAATTTTGTTGAAAAAATGATGCTTCAATCGGCTCTTGAAAACATCACGACAATCATCCTTTTAATCAGCGGATAATAGGTTCCACCAGAATTTGGTTGACTTAACCGAAAACGTCTTTGGCCCAACGTGAGATGCCCTGTAGATTGGACAAGCAAGGTCATCATGCGTTGCCGACCTCAACCAAGCTCAAACAATTTCATCATTTCTTTCAAATAGCCTGGTACCTATCCTGTCAAACAATTTCTGACCATGAGGGCTATTTTAAACTCACTTCTTTTCTTCCCAATTTTTCACTAAAGTTATTGGTGTAGATATTACCTTAGCCTAAACTCCCCTACTGAATCTGACCTTGTTACTTTTTGTACTTACAAATCCTAATAAAGACCATATATGTAAATGTAATACTATACTATCAATTTATTTAATTTGATCCAATTAATGATGTAATAAATAGAGTTATTAATTAACACACACAAAATACATACATTAGCACAAACACGTTCATGCATATATTTAAAAAACACAAACATCCATGCACACACAAACTTACAAACAAACAGTGCCGGTTTTCTTTTATCAACTTAATACTTATCGACTGTTTCAACTTTTAAATGAAGAATTCACCTCTCCTTTCTATTAGTCCTACTTGTCCATCATCCAATGAAAATCTTTAGAACCTGGGTCACGGGGTAACTAAATTTTTAAAAAATAATTGAGGTCATATTTTTCATCGTCATCTTCACTGTTTTCTTGATTGTTTGTTAGTTTGGAAGTTAGAGAATGTCTTGAGTTTTGTTTAGATGAATCAATGAATTATTGATGTAAATATAACCATAACTCCCTTACTAGGAAGGTATTCTGAATTATCATTATACGATCGTCTATTCATATGCAAATTCTTCGGTAACGCCTCGACATTTCCAGTTATTACGTTATCCGGTTTTAGGAAATTTTCGGTTAATCTAAATAGGCCGCGAAATTGTGAAATGCTATGATGGGTAACGAAGATTATCGATAGGACTTGAATCTGTCGATTTAGATTTTGATAACACCCATGGATTTTATTCACAATATTTCACCTCGCGGGAAAAAAAAACAAGAAAAATATAATGATTTTTTTCAAAAATAAAACCGAAGCTGTTCTAATAGATATCGATAAACCTCAAATAGACATAAGACAAAAATGATAACATCATTACCAACTCGTCGCCTTAATACTAACTTCAATAACGTTGAAGAACAAAGGAATGCTAACAGCAAAGATGAAAAATACGACACCAACTAAAAAACTTTGCTGGAAAAAACTTTGCTTTGTTTAAAGAAACTATATAAACCAAACCTGCACTGAAGATGATTTATGAAAAATCAAAATAAGGCCTTATCTGCAGGATGAATTTGGATAACAACAGTTTCATTATATTTTCATAAAGAACTTGGATAACTCTATTTTCAACAAATTGAACAATTTCCTAAAAATTCAAGTAAGGAAAATTGAAAAGACACGCTTTAAATTGATTAATACCGACAATTCGGTAGAATTCATACAATACTGTATATGTGTATATACAAACACACACACACACACACACATATATATATATATATATATATATATATATATATATATATAGTTGTGTATTATTTTATAATCCACAATGAAATTAAATAGAAAAACAAACTTAAATTTTATGGACTGATAACAAGTAGGTAACTTTTGAAGAGCTAAGAAATAATAATTTTAAATGTACAGGTACGTGAGATGTACATGTAATACTACTTAATAAAATTTGAGTTTCAGATGTTCATCAACTTGAATTAATAATGAGTAAACAAGAATTCAACGCAATATAATAGATATTTTAAACGTTTTACTTTTTAGTAATTCTTGTGTGTGTGTGTGTGTGTGTGTACGTGTGTGTGTGTCTTCGTGCGTGCGTGTGCGTGCATGTTTGCAGTGTATTTGGAACGATTGTTGCATTCGCGTTAAGTTCTTTTAAAAAATTAAGTGAATTGATATGTAACCCAACATCACTTTTATTGGCACATACTGATCAAAATCAATAATAATATACGTGCGTATCTTTACACATGGCACCGAATGAACAATATTAACTTGTTAACTTGTAATAACAAGTAGGTAACTTTTGAAGAGATAAGAAATAATAAATAATATAATATAATAATAAATAAATAATCATACATTGGGAGTTAAGTAATATAATTAAACACATTCAACAATATCTAAACAATAAACATAGATTTTCGCAAATTTTAATAAATAGTTTGTTCATGTTATCATCTTCATGAAGATTTGTATCAGGTAAACTTCAAAAGGTGACAGTTTCGTACGGTAAGTTACAAGTCCAGATATTTAAAAATTGTATAAGAATATTAGAATTAATCGAAATCACATTCACGTTCTACTGCTAATGTCTACTGCGTATACAACTTCAAATCTTTCAAATCTGGTCTTAGTGATGAAATTTTTGAAATGGTGTTCTCACTGATAGGAGATCTAATGTGCAGTGAGGATAAGCGAAAACAGCATTGGGCAACGTTTATCAACTCTTTCTCAAATAATTCATCATGTTGCTCGGGACACGTTATTGAGAGTTTTGTGAGGCTCGATCTGTAATATTTAAGAGCCAGTTTAATGAAGTGGTGTACTTTTTTAGCCCAGGTTTCTAAAGTAAGTTCGCTAACAGGTATCTCTGGTCTGAAAACCTTCATTGCAACTCGCATAGGGCATGCATAATCAAAAATTAAGCTTACTTTCAAATCTTTTGAATGTGTGACCAGACGTCTCCAGGCTTTAGAGCTAGTCCTGGCAATATACATTTGGTTAAATGAGCAAAGGATAACAAACTTTTGTAATTTCAGGCGATCTTCAGGTTGCGTGATGGCTGACACAACCTCATCATTAATGCTGAAGCCAGGGAGACCCAAATGTGTCAACTGGTGGCAATTGGATATCACGAATTTTGACATGTCAGCGTTTATATCATCGGCAAAAAATAAATTGTGGAGGTACAGTTTTTTAAGAGTTTTGTTGTGATTTTCAACTAAAACAATAATTAATTTTTCATCAAAACCATAGTACCGTCCAATCAATTCAACCTCGACCAATGATCTGCAGCTTATTCCACTTTCTACTGGTAAAGTTAGCAAATTATTTATGGCTTCGTTGAATTCATTGTAAAAATGACATTGATCTTTGAAATGCAATTTGAACGCCACGATACGTCGTTTGGTTTGGCGAGCAAAATAATTAATGGCATAGAGAGCAGACTGTCTGCAAGCTTTCATTTCAGGATTAACCTCAATATATAGATTGCAAATAAACTTGCCGATAGCACGCAAGCAGCGCATGTTGGGCAGTTTACGTTTGGTCAAAAATTTGAAATGAAAACTCTTCCACAGATTTGATGAATTTTTGAAGACGTAGCACCAATTTTTGTTGACGAGAGAAGCTCTGAACCTGTCTCCATGGTCCAAATGTGAAAAAATAATTCCAAGAACATTCTGTGGAACATCGTTAATACTAATCACTTGTGATTTATACATATTCCATGTACCAATTCTATATGTATGAATTTAAAGTGTGTATTGCTGTAACTTGCATTACCATCAAATTACTCCATCCGTAGGTTTACTGATTTCTGATAGATATAGCATAGATGAACACAGACTTGTTTAAACGTTTATTCGAATGCTAACAGTAATATCAATAGAGAGACCGAATCAATCACTAACCTCAGAAAACAATAATTAACAGCGTAACTTCAACAACTCCAACTTCACTTTACATAACGTGCCGTGTTGTGTTATTTATACATAATCCTACAACAATTTTACAATCGGCGTTACAAAGATTAAGAATTACAAAGATTCTAACAATTAATTAAGAATGGAAAAATAGAATTATAGAATCAAAACAGTAATATTTATTTATATAGCGCAAGTTCAGTTTTAGATTTTAATTTTATTAAATTTAATTATTAGTTTAATTTCGTTTTCATAACTTTATTATTTAATTATGTTACGACTGACTCCAATACCAATAGGGATCTCACGCTTTCCGATTTGTTAAGTCTTATAATTTTTTTTTGAAAATATCAATAGACAATCTTGAGGAAGCAGGCGGGGCATTCTAAACCCTTGCACCCAACACAGTATTAACCGTCATCAGATTTGAATGATCACTTATCAAGCATATGCCTCTAGAAACTCAACTGTTTACCTTTTTTCAAATTTATCCAACAAATATCTAAGCAAGAGTCCCTTCATGGCTTTAAATTAAATATCAAAACAGATAATTTAAAAAACGTGCATTTAACATTAAACTTTTGCAGATCAGAGATGTTAAAAACATAAGTTTATTAATTTTTTTCCGAGGGTTTGAAGGCTTATAGGTTTTTTGATTTTATAAAATGTTCAAAAAGATTTACATCTCCCTGGTTCACAAGACTTAATTGAACAATTTGTATTACTTTTTTAACAAAATTAATGATAAAAAAGTACATTTTAAAAATTTATTTAAAAAAAATTTTTCTAAAAAATTGTCAAATTTAAATTAATTTAATTTATCCATTTCCACACTTTTTGTTTTTATATTCAGTTTCAAGGCATGCATTCCTCACTAGATTGATTGAAATCACAATCTTAAACTTAATATAAAATATTAAAAAAGAAAAATTGTTCTATAAAAAACTATGTCAAACATTCCTTTTTCGATAATCATTTTCCATAACTTTAATTTCCAGGGCATTTATTGTCACTAGATTTAATTCAGATTGTTAAATTTAATATTAAATATTCAAAAATAATTATTATTCTAAAAAGCTATTATTGTCATATTTCAATTTTCATCATTATAAAATTTGGTTTCTTTAAATTTCTTAATAAACCTAAAAAACCTAAAATTTCAACGTTTAAAAAAAATTTAGGTTTATTGGAAAAAAAACTAAAAAACCAAGGTTTTATAAAAAATTGGTTTTACAGCTCTGGTGCAGATCATTGAATGTTTGAGTGACGCAATTAAACTTTGTTTGAGCATCCAACAACAACTCTTCCAGCTCTATTTGGTATAGATAGAAGTTTCGACATTGATTTATTAGGAAGATTGTAGAAAAGGTTCTTGCGATAATCCAGTCGTACATGAATGAATGCATTTGCCAAAACCAATGTACGTGTAGTAGAGTCATATCAAAATATTTACGAACGATACAACCTTTGCAGTTGGTACGAACAAAATGGCGAAAGCTTTCTCAATATATTCTTCACTGGCAATTTTGTTGTTAAATAGTACTTACTAAATGTATGTGTTTGTCCAAGCAAATGAGGCTTACTCCATTTTGCAGAAATACCGTCACATCGTAATCGTACGATTCGGTTGTTCGCACAATCAAATGCGGCACTCATATCCAAGGATGACCAAAGTGACACTATTTGTTCACCAACGGCGCTGTATAGTTCTGTTCTGACAAGGCATGTACAAGTGCTGTTTCGGTGTAATGATGACTTCTATAACCTGATTGGTTAACAAGCACCACAGGCCGTGCAAGTCTGGATATTTCAGTAAGTTGAATAGTAAACAACACGTTTCTCAATTTTAGACAAAACATAGATTTGAACTAGGACGATAAGCTTTTATAACTTTTTTATTAGTATTCGTTTTCTTCTAAAAAGGAATTATTATGGCATATCATGCTTGCAGGATGAAGGAACAGTACAAAGAAAGTAATGAACAAATTTATATAATTTTTCCAAATAGGCGTCGGACAGAATAACATCTAATAGGCATGTCTTGCTTGCTGAGCGAAGTATGAGTGTTCAAATCTCGGGCGAAGGATGGTCGTTTTAATCTCGCACTCTGTAACTTTAGAGAAATACGAATTTTCTGAATTAATCCTATCACAGAAAAATTTGACTGTCTGATTCACTAAAAGATGATCTTATATTAATTTTTACTTGGAAAAATTCAAAAAAATATTCCGACGTCAAACCATGAGAAACACCAATATCGCAATAACTTTGTTAACCCGTTCCACTGATTCTGGGAATTGTCCTTGTTTTCTTCGATCCGCTTCGAAATTGCTTGCGTTTTCAGCAAAACATTTTCTTTTGGTCCTCAAACCATTGGACTATGTTTGTCATCTTTTTTAAAAAAATTTCTGCATTTTCTTTTTAACTTTCTTTATTTTATCTTTATTCTTTGTCGAACTATATTTGTTATTTACTTGCTAGTCGCTAATACCAAAAACATTTTTAAAACGATCGTCGTTATAAACGAAATCCAGCATTTGTTAGTTTTATAATTTTTAGCAAACGAAAAGCGTTCAAATGGAATTTTATTCATTCGGTCCGTTACGTAACAACTTTATTTTTATTGGAAAATTGTCTACTGTACTGTAGTTCTTTGATTAAATAACTTTAATTAAATAGTCATGCTCACATTTGTATTCCCACTTTGTATGACATATTTCGCCCGACTTGACTAATGCGCACTGAAAATGTGAACGGATGCGTTTGAGGACCATTGTATTTATTTCGAGTATCACACCCACTGAACTACATATATATATTATATATAGTTCCGTGGTCGCACCTTAAATGGTTAACACAAGCCTAAATCGTCTCGAAGATCAATTTTCACCCAAATTTTAATATTTCATTTCTACAACGGAACGCCGAAGTTAGACGAACATTCAAAACAAATCCATATAAAATTTGTCAGTACTCTTTACAAAGCATCATGGTACTGATGCCTTGAATTTAGCATTCAGTTAAAAAAAACAAATGCTTATAATTTAATGTTACTCACCACCAACAAACAAATCATTAGAAGTCAGTCATCCTTCTGCTGTTGGCCTTTTTTGTATAAATCATAAAAACCAACGACGTGTACATGTAAAAACAATTCAGTAAAACGTATGAAGTGCAAAGATAGATTCTATTATTTCAAAACAACGTTAATTATGAAGCAAGTTAATCAATTGAATGCACATTCGCCTCAGTAAAATTTCTTACCTCGCTGTGCTCATGTGTTGTTGCTATGTTATTTTTCAATAAAACAATAAAAATTACTTATACAACCACAAAAAAGTAATGAAATGAAATAGTTGGCGTTAACGAATAAATAAAAAAGTGGATTTTAAACATGTCAACTAAAGTGAGTAACATTATTAAAACGAATGTTTAAAAATCATAAATTGCAAATCTATATATAGATAGATGCGGCAAAGTTTTAAATTTTAAATTATATATATATATATATATATATATATATATATATATATATATATATATATATATATATATATATATATATCACTAAAAGTCGCAATGACAACTGCATTAATGTTGGAGGTGATTGAAAATAAAAGTTGTGTTGGTTGTTCAGTTAGATGCTGGACAAGCAGCAAACAAAACTTGACACTCACATGCCAATACAATCACACCAGTCGCACCAATCCCGAACCAGCTAATTATCGAGGAAATGTTTCTAGTAAGATATTTTAACTGCAAACAGTTAATCATGTTGTTAAAATAAAAATCCTTTCATGAGCATTTAATCATCATCAGTATGGTGTCATCATGCCATCCAAAAACTTCGCCACCCTATTCTCCGACCCGATTGACATATGATACAACTTCAGACTTGTTTAATGGGTAGGTTGTTTGTAGGCGGCAGTTGATGGTGACGACAACGATGATGAGGGATGTTTGTTGAAAGGTACATATCAATCAATGCTAGGTAAGTAGGTAGGTGTGTTGCTTGCTTGCTCACGAAGTCAAACGATTGTACTCGCACATAGCCGGTGACTTTCTAATTATTTCCCACGCTTTTGATGCATAAAAGAGCCTGCAGGTCGGAGAAACAACGATGAATCAACAACGAGCCGATGGAATAAATAACAACTAAAAACATACCACTTCTTCTCATTGAACTTGTTGAACATCAAATCCTTCTGCGAAGTCAGCAACTTGTTCCTCAGCCTCCTCACCTGCTCCTCAAAGTCTCGACAGCCCCTCAAACTTTCAAACTTAGTTCCCATCGAAACTTTAGGGGTTACATCAACATCACTATTATTATTATCATCATTATACAAATGAACATTAATATTGCAAAATACATAACAGCATGTTAATATCACGATTGAAAAGTTAAACCACAAATATTTGCATGTAGAAGTCATTCCATCTCCAACAGATTAAACGTCTTGGTACCTATTTGCTTACCAATACAAATTCTAATCACGGCCTCTTTCCAAGATCAGCTTGAATATTTTCAAGCAGGTGGTAACAAATTGAAAAAGTGTTTTTGTTATAAAACAAAATTCGTAAAAGATTAACAGCAAAACTAGTGCATGGTTTTCAAAACATTTCTCCTCATCTAATAAATTGAACAGCTGAATGTCAACAGTAAATTCGACCAAATAAGCACTTGCCGCATCAACCGTTGAGCTGGAACATGAATAACTTAGGAAAGATATTGAATAAATTTTTTGTTGTACCAACCACGAAATTCTTTATCATTGGCAGAACCTGCCCAGTTTGCATCCTCCTTGTTGCCTATTAAAGGCAGGGTAACCAGATTAACTGTTCTTTTCTCTATTTCGCTATCCTCATTTTTCTTCTTCACTCCTGTACCGATTGACTTCTGAGTCAAACCTGGTCGGTAAAAAAAAGTTAACAATTTAAAAAAATTATTTTTTAGTGGGCCCGGTCAAAATTCAAAAAGAGTCATCACTATCATGCAAACTGGTAAATAAAGACTAAACATTTGACTCCCCACATTCATCTACCTACCTCTGTAGTTGAACTTTGATTGGCTCATAAAATTTTCAATCATATCCTCTGTGCTGCAACGCAGGCTCAAGTCCTCCAAGTTGCACTTGTTCAACACAAACACTAAATAAAAATTGGAGAATATTCAAAAATTAATATTCAACAAACATTATCATCCTCATCACACCATTACAACATTAAGATCCTACATTTAATGATAGATGAGTGAATCCGGTCCAAAAACAGAAGTGGTTCACATATTGTCAATATATATAATGAAAACCAAATGCATAAACACATGTGAACGAAAGGGATCTACAGTTACTTTGCACATATTAACGTTGATCAGAAGTGTGTAAAATCATCATTACAAACACCAGAGAAAAACAGCCATCAAAATAAATAAACACAGAACATCGAACTAACCAATATGAGGTGAGGGAGGTTTGAAATGTTTTCCCATGGTGTCATATGGATTCCTGGGCTTAAACAACTCTGCTGTCTCCAGTAACCTGTATTTGTGCAAGTATTTCAAAATTTGTCAGTCACATCATCAACAACATCCTCATTCACTGCATTGCATGAATTATCATTTGGTACACTAAAGCAAAACCATTTTTCCATTTCTCTGTGGTGACAAAATTGTGATGATGTTCAGCTGGTGCTACGCTGATAATGATGACAGCAATTACAATGTAAATGGAGCTCTAAATAGTAATAATTAGATGGTGGTTACACCGATGATGTTGGATAAGTACAGTGGTTTGTGGAATGATAATAACAACTAAGATAACAAACTTGAAAATCTTGTCATCAATGAACCAGTCTACGACGACAAAAATCACATTGCAGACGGACATCATGAAGGTAGTCAGCTGGATGGACTGTGAAAAATGTCAATCAAACCCTCAATCAATCCAATTTATTTATTTAGCTACTTATTATCTAGATTTTGTCAGCTAATTCTAATCACATTAATCTTATAACAAGTCATTATTTACACTTTAGCAGAATACTAGGTAGGATAAACTTAGGTGAAATGAAAAACCATGAATGAAATTAATAACAAAAAAATATGAATTATAACAATCATATTGACACTAGCAAAAAACAAATAATGTAATGAACAAAATGATGAAAAATGAAGATAGATAGAGATAAAGGGGAGAGAGAGGGGGGAGAGAGAGATGAACACGTGACCAACCTGAACATCCAAATTGGCATCTATACTATCTATCATACGCTTCCTCTCCAGTTGTATCTTGTCACACATATTTGATGCACTGAACAACGGCTGTCGAAATAGTCAAAAAAAAAAAATTCAAAATTATGAGGTCATAATTATAAAACATGCTGACAAATCCTGTTTTCATTAGAAAGAAATGTACACTGCTGCAGCTTCAAAATGCATGCGCCATACATGACAATGAAAGATGATGGACTTTATGTTCTCGTACTGGCTGACCGTACTTGCGAGAGCAAGTCGGGAATTCTCACCCTTTATAAACTCACATACTTGTAGATTCAAGTCGACTCACAAAATATATTCTTTTTTATTCGGCTGAGTAACAGTACGTCTTTATCGACTAAAAGAGTTTCTGCGAATTACTTTAAAAAACACCTTTGTTTTTTTTATATGAATTACTTTAAACAACACCTTAGTTTGCAACGTCGTCTACTAGGATTATAACTACACTAAGTTAGTGTTTGGACTCGGGCAACTGGTGAGTTCCATAAGGGACGAAAGGGACGGAACGCGTCTAGCCTAAAACGATTTCGGTGTTCACAGAAACGTACCTTTGGTCGTGGTGAGAGATTGTGTACTGTACTTTATGTACTAGTATTGGCCGACCACACAGAGTAAAATTAATCAGTTCACGTTATCAGATACCAACAATGATTTTTGCATGCATATACCATTTATCTATCAAGTCTGAATCATTCAATGTCTTACATAAAAGAACTTGAATATAAAGCAGATCCTAAATGAAATAAATTAACAAGCTTCTTATGAATGATCAGTAAAAATGTATAATAGTTGAACTATCAGTAGGGTTATTTTAGTAAAGCAAATCAAGTGACTATTAATTTTTCAATATTTTTCAAGTAGGCATTAATTACCTGTATGTATGTATGCAAACTGATTTCTAAATTATTTCCTTCTAGCATAATTGTGCAACAGCTTGCACGTAAGTTTGTATTTATAAAATGAAAAACTTCCAAGGTTTGTATTTTAAAAAATGGAAGAATGCATTAACGCTGATACAAGTTAGAATAGCCATCAAATGAATAATGGGCAGGTAGGTGCCTACCTGCGAATCGAGCAGTATCATCCTCTCTGGGGTGACGTACATGTCGACTCCAAGCGTCATGTGGACACCCGACTCTCGAGTACGAGTACTCTGCTTGCTGAACATCAACCTGCGTCATTTATACAACGTTCTAATGTTAGCATTGTGAAATTTTCAAAAAAATAACGCTACATGCGTGTTGTAATAATTTGTTACGAAAAAAGACAAACAAAAAAATAGATTAGACATTTGTAAATAGCGAAAAATTAATCAATAATAAATAAATTTAGCAAAAAACTGAACTAGAATTAAAAATAAATAAAATAATAATAAATAGAATAAAAAATTGAACATTATATTAAGAAATAAAATGAGCAAAAACAGAAAACAGTTGATCAAACAGACTTGTTATCATTCCTGTTGACAGTGCCAGCCAGTTGAGACATGAATGTGGACTTGCCAGAATTCTGCGTTCCCAGGACACCCACCACCAGGTAGTTATATTGGTCCAACAGCATCTGCAACCAATCAATCAATAAATCAATACTAATCAATCAATAATAAACACACAGCCAACCACTAATAATAAGGAACTTACGTCAGTTTTGGTAGCTACCCATTTGAACGACTCGTCAATCAACTTCACTGAGGAGTTCATTAGAGGAAATTGCATGTTGATCACTGTTCATTAGTTAACATGTTTGTAACTGTTCATATTCATTTGTTTGTTCATTACATTTGTTTGTATATTATTTTTTTAGTTTACAATGCAATGTTCATTCATGATGCATGTTCATTAATTATTATCATGTAAAAAATATTTGAAATTTTATCATTAAAATGTGCAAGTGATTCAAGGGGTGAGTGTGCACATATAAAAAAACATTTCAAATGGGAAAAAATTGATGGCAAACCTGGTTGAGGAGTCTTCTGCATGTATTGGAAGACATTGGAAGCATAGGAAGTAAATACCTTAGGAGCAGCATAGGATGCTGTGTTGTTGCTCATAACTCTCTGTGGGTATGCAGCATAATTTCCATTAGAGTATGCAGCATGACTTCCATTAGAGTATCCAACATGAGTTCCATTTGAGTAGGCAACATGAGTTCCATTCAGGAGTTTCACTGGCTGCTGTTTACTCTGGATTGTGACATGATTATTCAGCTGCTTCCTATCCAGCACTGAAATCTGTTTGCTCAGAACATCAACTTCTGAATCATTCCTAATTTCATCCCTTTTCAAAATCTATTCAGAAAATATCATTTCATGTAACAAATCATTACTACTCAACTGAAACCGTCAAATATGAAATTACAAAATAAAAACGAGAAGTATAATGAATGTACCTGTTTAATGTTATTTGATTTGGACAAAATTATAGGAACCTTCACAGAAAATTGACTTGGCATTTCTACTGGCTTCTTGGCTTTCTCCTGCCAAAAATAATTCAACGTTTTTATACTAACTACATAACATGAAAAAACAAAATTGCCTAGATAAAGTAGAATGTAACAAAAATAACACCCCACATATGAAACAGATTTCCAGCATAGCATGATATTAAGAATTTATTTTTTATCAAATCAATCAATTGATTGATTGATTGATTTTTTATATTTTTATACTGCCCATTTTGAATTATCTAGCGCTTGATTATTTATTTATATCAAATTGAAAATAATTTAATTAGGTAAGTTTTTTAGATCATTACTTGTCAAATAGTTGAAATAGTGAACATTAAATAGAAAAAAGTTAAAATATGAGTAAATTTCTGTTTTGATAACAATCAATGGCTTATGGAGTGGTTAACAGGGTTAGGGTTAGGGCCTTCCTTTTTAACAAAATTTTCAATCATTTCACAAATATGGAGTGATTAAAATTTTCAATCATTTGTGAAATGATGAAAATTTGGTTAAAAATGGAGGCCCTAACCCTAACCCATAAGCCATTGATATTTGACAAGTAATGATCTAAAAAGCTTACCTAAGAATTAACTTGTATTAAATTACTTGACTAAGAATTAACTTGTATTAAATTATTTTTAATTTGATATAAATAAATAAATAATCAAGCGCTAGGTAATTCAAAATGGGCGGAGTTAATTTATTAAAAGTACATTATGATTGTTTGTAAACTTGGAAGATACCATAGGAGTACCTATCTCACGTTTTACCTTCAATTTAATATAAATAAATAATCAAGTGCTAGATAATTCAAAATGGGCGGAGTTAATTTATTAAAAGTACATTATGATTGTTTGTAAACATGGACGATACCATAGGAGTACCCATCTCACGTTTTACCTACAACTATTTTTGTGAAATAAGCATGGAAATGAAAATATAAATAAATAGACATAGAGTAATAGACTTAATATTAACTGAAATATTAAAGTGAACTTTAGTTTAGTTAGATTAATATAATAAAAATTATTTTATTTATTGTTATTCTGTAATAATAAACATTAAACACTTATTTTTTGTAGAACATTTGAAATAAATTGAAATAGAATAGAAGAATATTTACAATGGAAGCCATATGTTCTTTCAATCGATTTCACTCTCTCATTCATCAATTATAAAATTAAATAAAATTAAAATTAACGAACTCTTTTGTATTTGTTGACGACTTTCTTGCGATTGCGATGATCAAGATAATCGGCCATAACCATTTCTTTAGTTCGGATCTAGAAACCGATTAGTTAGTAAACTGAATGGAAACAAAAAAATTGAAATTTCCGATGGTATACCAATCGCACCGACGTAAACTTTTTTGATAAATACCAGCTAGAAGATATCTTGCGGAAGCAGGCTGTAGCAACGAAATATTGAAAATAAGATAGCCAGCAAAGATAAATTTACGGTTCGGAAAACCAAAATTCGTAAATATTTTATTTACGACCACTGGACTATACTTTTTTTTTAAAAAGGAAAATGTAATATAAGAATTTTCATGGTTGGCCAAGATTTTTACAATTTTTACAAATTTTACAAACTGCAAACATTTATCGCTGGCCATTTTGTTTTCTATCGGTGATCGCTATTTTGGTTGAAAAACGTTAATTTAGTCTTTGAATTAAATTTTAAATTAGTATTTAGCAGAGTATCGGTTAATTAATTGCATAATTAACTACTAATTGTTGATTTTGAGGTAGGAGTCAAGAGTTAGATAGACAGAACCGATTTCTGCTTTTGGTGTGGCTTGTGAAACTTATTATTTTATTAGCATCCATTCCAAAAGCATTATTTTTTACAATCTGTTGTTGTAGTTGGATCAGCTTTTAAACAAGGGTGGGCAAGCCACTGTCCGCGAAGCTATTTTATGCGGACCGCGAGGCCTCGTTCGCCAAAAAAGTTCGTCAGCCAGACATTATGACATAACCAAAAAAAGGAGCCACAAATCTTACAATATTTTCTCCCGGGTTGAAAAAGTTTGTTATTTGAGTACATATGCGGCCCTTTAAAGGTAAAATAGTTCTCAATGCGGCCCTCACTGCAAAAAGTTTGCCCGCCCCTGTGTTACACACATAAAATCTTTCTCCAGCTGATATATGCGTGAATTAGTTTGTTTTTCCTATTCATTCTGTTCATTCAAATATTAATGACACTGATTTCAATTTATTTAAATTTAGTTTGTGGAGGTTACCCTTTAATTCAATAAATAATTTCAACGAGATGAAACGTACAAAGAAAATAAATGTTATGTTATACAGCAGTCTATTCCACTATTCCACAAAGCATCTTTTCTTACAATAATTTTAATAGGTTTTTCTCACTGACCTTCAAATTCAAATGTATCACAGTTTTTTTAATAAATTTCTTTCGATAATCTATTTTTTATTTGATTATTCCATCAAATATTCATCTTCAAAGATTATTATTTAATTGCGTTACAAAAAAAACAAATTACAGACACACAATTTAAAAATAACGATCTTTAGATTTTATTACATTAAAAAATACCTAGCAAAGAGGATTATTAAATTGTAAAAAGTACAAAGATGAAAAAAGCATAAAATTATTAATTAATTAATTAAATGGTTCATAAGCATCTGGTGTAGCAGGTGGAAAACAAATCGTGTGGAGGTTGGTTGTGGTTGTTGGTGCTAGATTGCCTCAGACCTGCAACAAAAAATAAATGCATCATCAGTTTACACTCAAAGTCTGTGGAAACATCATTTGCGAGAATGCTTCAAAAATTATGTTGAAAAATTTAAATGCATTCAAAATAAAGTTTACAAACGAGTGAACGAACGAATTATTAAATGTAATATAAGAATGAGAAAATGTAAACCTTGAGTCAACGCAATGTTATTTGAGGCATTGATACCCATGGACGAAGTGATGAGCTGACATTCAGCTGGAAAGAAGTCTGCCATGTTCTGCGGTGGAGAGGAGTAGCGAGGACCGTAGAAAGTGGGACCGAAGAAGTCAGGGTCACAATTCTGATCTGCCAATTTTTTGAATCAGGCGTTTGAATAAAAAGTGTCTACATGAAATTATTTAACTTTATAATGTGCCTATTTGAATGCTGCTCAGTGAAATAGATGAAGAAGTTTCAAGCTATTGTTGCAATTATACTGCCAATGAAAATGAGAGAAAAACATTAATAGTTCATTTGAATGTTAAAAATGCAAAAGAAAATTATTGCGTCTCGTTTTTATATGGAACACTCTCTCAAGCTTTTCAAGACAAAAACTGCAAAGGATAAAATAAAATTAAAAATAAAATAAAACTAAATTTTAAAAAATATTTGAAGCAACAAACTTTCAAAAAACAACTTTCCAATTCCTCCCTCTGCACTGACGCAACTCCTCCCCCCACTCCTCATCACGTGATCAGGCGAGTTTTCGTGGTTGAGAGAATGATGGATGGAATGAAGAGGGTGGGGTGAGGTGGTGGAGGATGACGTCATCATCATCGTTCTCAACCTCCGAGGACTCCTGAAGAACTGATGCCTCCTCACCGACCCCAGCACGCTCAGCTGCTTCATCCGCCGCTCCTTCGATCGTCTGTTCTGAAACCAGACCTGTGCGTGTGTTGTTGTGGTGCGTGTGTTGTTGTGCGTGTGTGTTTATGTGTGTGATTTGTTTGCGTGGATCTCAAAATGTTCATTCAACTTCTTTGAGAAAGAAAGAATATTATAACGAAAAAATAAAACTGAAATTTAGCAAAATTTTGTAACCGACTGACTCGATGAACCCAAGTATAGAAATTATTTAAGTTTCAAGTTATAATTTTTGTTCTCATTGTTAGCTTACTTTAGGCTCTAAACTTTTTTTATATCCAAATTGGAAAATTTGGCAAAATAACATTTCACCCAACTAAAAACCCTAGTGTGTGTGTATGTGGTGTTTGTGTGCGTGTGGTGTGTGTGCGTGTGTGTGTGTGCGAGCGTAGATCTTTACAGATTTTAAGTGTAGTGTACATGCAACATTTGTATTTCGAAATTTCCACTTTGGCGAGGGAAGCGATCACTTTTTAAGTCAAGTTGAATTTCGTTGAATGTCTTCAACTCGTCAGACTTATATGTAAATAATGGGATAGATGGAGGAATGGACGGACGGATGGATGAAGAAGAAATAAAGGAATAAATATATGGGTGGTAGGTAGATTGGAATGGGAAAAAAATTCAATTTGTAAAAAAAAAGATGAATTAAGAAATGAATTAAGTAATCAGTTGATGAACAAATAAATAAATGAATAAAAAAAGAACGAGTGAGTGAATGAATGAATGATTGAATGAATGAGTGAATGAATGAATGATTGAATGAATGAATGAATGAATGAATGAATGAATGAATGAATGAATGAATGAATGAATGAATGAATGAATGAATGAATGAATGAATGAATGAATGAATGAATTGATAGACGGAAATAGATAAATGGAGGAATAGAAAGTTGGATGACTTATCTATGTTGAAATCTGAGCATGGTTCGAAATTTTAATGCAAGCGTGAAACGCGACGTCTGTTTCGACACTACTCACTTCTTCACTACTATCATCATCATCATCATCGTTATCATCGCTATCATTCTTACCATCATCAGTATCATTATTATTATTATCATCGCTGTATAGATACACGCATATATACACATATGTACACCAATATATACATAGGTATATTAGTGTACATTGATATGTAGGAACACGCGTACGCGACCGTATAAGATGTATCATGTAAACACATGGGTCATAGGTCATTGAACGTGAGTGACGTCATTGCTTGCATCACAATGCGATAATATCTATCTTATGTAGATGCCGCTTGTTTTCTTTGGTTTGCTTTTGGTGTGTGCGTGCGTGTGTGTGTTGTTTGTTTTGTTACCAAATTGTTAATTGAAGTTATTAGGAGTGTGGCGTGTATAAATTGTTGTGTGTTTTTTTATGTGTAACATCAACACCGATATTCATTGCGTTTGTGCTATAACTTAAGTCGTGTGTGTGGTGGTCAATGTATCTGGTGCCTGGTCTATTGTAGTTTGCGTCTGTCTGTGCTTGTTATGTCTGGTATATTTGGTAGTCTGTCTGTGTGTCCGTGTCTGTGTTTGTGATTGTGTGTGTGTGGTGTGTGTGTGGTGTGTTGCCCGGTCAATGCTAATATGGTTCTCAAAGTTATGTGTGTTTGTTGGATTTTTTGCACCGCCAGGGAGGGCAGCCGATTGAAGATGCAGGGGCGCCAGCACCAGGATCAACACGTGAGCCCCCACGTTCAACAACTTCAGATAATGAACACCAACAACAATGCATCCCTTTCAACATCACGTCGTCATCAACATCAACAATAAAAACAACAACAACATCAATAAACAACATCAATAACAACAACAACAACTACTACTACTACTACATCAACAACATCAACAACAACAACAAAAATAACCATTATTTTTTATTAAAATTTATTGCATATACGAATTGAAAATTATCCACACATCAGCAAAACATCTTGAACGGTATGATCATTACAACAACAGTTACTGCTATTAAATAAAAGCCAACACATCACTGCAACAAAATTCGCTGGTTTCTCTTGAAAACATCAACAAACTCATCTTCAGCAACAACCTTTCAATAACGACAGTTTACCTTTCATCTGAGAGAACATCAACAATGTGACTCCATCGCATCATGACAACCACCACCATCACATCATTGTCATCATTTTTTATCATCATCATCACATTATTGAATAAATCTACTTTTTTTCATAAAATTTACAACAATAACAAACGCCAACTGTCATTAAAAATGTCAACAACAACAACAACATAAACATTAACACAAACAACACAAACAACAACAGCACAACAACAACACAAACAGCAACATCGACTCCTCCAACAAGTGCAGCCCATCAATCAAGTACGCTCTTCTAACGTCTTTTTGTCTTAAAGACGCTTCATAAAGAACTTATATAACAAGGCAGCAGCAACAGCAACAACAACAAAACAACAACATTAACAACAACACAACAACATGTACGACAACAACAGCTACAGTTGCAGCAAGCACACAGCACAGCAACAACAGGAGCAACAGGAGCAACAAGATGACGGGGAAGTTTGTAGTCGTTCCTTTGTTCGTTCTTGCGTGAAAGAATGGATGCCCCACGGGGCTTGCCTGCTTGGCTGACTGGCCGGTTGGCTGACTGGCTGGCTGACTGGCTGACTGCATGCTTCGTCGAACACGACACCACCTCAACTCACAACAACATCTCATGAGATTTCATCCACAACTTGTTGTTTTTGTTGCTGCTGTTGTTGTTGTTGCTGCTGTTTGTGTTGTTTCATATGTGTGTTGTTGTTGTTGTCGTTGTTGTCGTCGTTGTGCTGTTTCATATGTGTGTGTTATTGTTGTTGTCGTTGTTGTGTTGTTTCATATGTGTGTTGTTGTTGTGTTGTTTCATATGTATGTTGTTGAAAGTGCCACATCAACAGTAATAATTACAATGACGTAGATGTTGAATACAACAACAAATGAAATAAATAGAATGAATGAGATGATGATGCAAATGATGATGATGATAAAAATATAAAATGTTCAAGTTGACGATGATGATGATGCTTTCACGTGATGATGAAAATGATAATGGGAGCATTAATGATAATATGGAATTAAAAATATTAAGATGATGACGACGATGATGGTGGTGGTGATGATGATGATGGTGTTGGTGATAATGATGACAATGAGGATGATGATGGCGTTGAAAACATGGTAAAGACGAACACATCTTGGAGGACCGAATTGTAAACTTAATAACGTTGGTGGAAGAGACTGAGCTGTTGATGATGTTGTTTAGCTTGGGAGGAGTTGAAATGGTAATAATTCAAAAATCTGGTGGAATTTCGACAACCATTTTGCTTTTTAGCATCGACGAAGGTGATTGCCGGCGTGATGACCTCTTAACCTTTTCTCAAGGTGTGTTCAGTTCACACGCACACATATATACAAAACTAAAATGCCCACACAACTATGTAACCATGCATAACATGCATAAAACACAAGTAACACACACAAAAATTCACACATGCATGCATATGTGCGTGCACATATTCACATACAAAAAAGTTACATATAAAATGCATGTTTGTATTTAATTCATTTATTCATGCATATGCATGCATTCATAGAAAAACATGGAGGGTATTCAACAGACGAACGGGGTAAACAATAGATATTGTTGATGTAGTAGAAACATACGTTACATTTAGACATACATACTCTTGTATATATACATACATGCATGCATGCATACATACATACATACATACATACATACATACATACATACAAAATATGCGGCTCTTGCAAAAAGCAAAATTTTTCAGCCAGTCTGCATTGAGAGCTTTGGTCCAACCGATGCTCAGACTCAGAGTTTTCTGAATGAACTCTGTAGCAGGATTGTAGAAGTATCGGGTGACCCATTAGATAAGAGTTATGTAAAGCAATCCTTTTCTATTTTACTTCAAAAATATAATTCTTTCTGTATTTTGGATAGGGCGTTAAAATACCTGTGCGAAGCGTTTAACATAGATTAAAGCTGAACCCGGATATGATTATTACTTCCCTATAGTTCTAATCAATTATGGGTTCATACATACATACATACATACATACATACATACATACATACATACATACATACATACATACATACAAACATACATACATACATACATACATACATACATACATACATACATACATACATACATACATACATACATACATACAAACATACATACATACATACATACATACATACATACATACATACATACATACATACATACATACACAAACATACATACATATATACATACACAAAGATACATACATACATGAATAATAATAATACATACATACATACATGTACACATACACACATGTTGAATGTAAGATGAGTGGACAATGTTTTTGCATACAAATCCTGGGATCATGTTATTATTTGACGAGACTCTTGAGATGTTTTGTTATTGTTGTTGTTGCTATTGTTGTTGTTGCTATTGTTGTTGTTGTCATTCTTTTTTTTGTTGCTATGTTATTTGGTACTTTGTGTTGTTGTTATTGTTGCTGTTATGTTTCTGTTTCTTTTGAATTGATGTTGATGATGTTGTTGTTGTTGCTGTTGTTGTTGCTGTTGTTGTTGTTGTTGCTGTTGCTGCTTTTGTTGTTGCTGCTGCTGTTGTTGCTGTTGTTGTTGTTTATTGATATTGGTAGTGTTGATGATGAGAGATTGATATTATGTTACAAATTATAAAAGTTGTTGTTACTTTGTAACGTTACATTTTGTACTTCTTCTATTGCTGTTGTGATAATAAGTTGCGTGCTATTCATATTTCCGAACGTGATATAATTTGAAATAAATTGTTTTGCATTTTCGTAGATTTTTGTTGGTTTATTATAGATGTCACTAACAGGTGTTTTGCTCAAACAGATCTTACTGAGGCCTTCATATGGATGGATGGCTCCTAAAACTGTCATTTGATTTCAAGGCGACTTATCAGCCTTTGGAA